ACAAGAATATATGAAAGGGTTGTGAACATTTTTTTTAAATAATGGATCAACAAACTGTAAAAATCGATTCTCGTTTAAAGCAGAAAAATGCTGGAAGCTGTGACTTTTCCCTTGCAGGCTGGCAGAGTTCCAGCCTGCAAGGGGCACTGGCAGGGGCCAGGGGGCTATTTTCTACTTTAACTATTTATTGGGTTGGGACTGACCATCGATGTTTACAAATGGGTTCTGGTACAAAAAAGGCTGAGAATCACTGATTTAATCCAACCCCTGACTGAGGCAGGATCAACCCTATCCAAATCATCCCAAGCAAGCCATAATCTAAACTCTACATAAGACTTCTGTCAACCTGGACACAACACAAACCTAACACCCCAACCTGCCGCAAGTAAAGTAGGGGAGCCTGGGCAGCCAATGCCCTGCTTCTATAAAGTGTTCACAATATACTCTAAAGAGATCCTGGTAGAGGACCATGACCCCTGCTACAAAGGAAGGCAAAAACTGGCACCATCCATACCAATCTGACCATGGGGTAAAATTCCTTCCTGACTAGGGATGCGAAATCGGTTAAACAATTAATCATTTTACTGGTAAGTGCAGTGATAACTGGTTAGCTTACTGGTTATTTTTTAGCTTGGGGTAAGCATAGTTTGGCAGGGAAGAGGGAAAGGGAAGCCACATGGTGCCCTAGCAGGAATTGGAGGGCAGAGGGACAGGTAGGGGTGGAGGTGGGAAGGAGGGGAAGGGTAAGGGGGACTAGTACCCGTAGCTTGAGGGAAAACTGTCAACAACCTAATGACTCATCAGTAGGGATTCTGGCTTTCTCTGATCAAAAAAAAAAAAAATCCCCAATTTTTGGATATAAACAAAGTAAACCAAAACCCATATTTTTCCATGATTAAAATGAAACACCACTATATAGATAGATAAGGGTGTGTGTGCGTGTGTATTCTAATATAATAAAGGACTTAGTCTGCCTATCTGTCTGTCTGTAATGCTCTTACTGAAACAACCAATTAGAGTGCTCCAAGAGTGTTACGGACAGGAGGTGGCAGTGCGGCAGAGCATCGCCATGACAGCGGGGATGGAGTGGATGGGCAAGGCTGCTGCCACTGCCCCCAACCCCCTCCACTGGCCCTGCTCCTTGAAGCTGCGGCAGCACAGGGTGCAGGTGGAGGTGGGCAACGGGGCATCCTCCCCACCAGTTGTGTGTAGTGGGGAGGCAGGGTTAGGATTAGCAAACTTTCTCCAGCTCTGGTGGGTGGCAGGTCAAGTTCTAAGGTTAAAGGCTTGCTTGTGATAATGCCTTGACAATAGTGTAAGTCAGGCACTTCAGTAATAGCACCTACCAGTTTCATCAAATTGTTTGGAGTGTAGGTATGAACCATAATTCCTTTCTATCTGTTGTTTTTTCTTTTACCCAGAAGAGAAATCTGTTCTAGCTTCACTCATTGGGGTAAGCTATGCTGGCAAGACAAATTACCTGGGAAGGTTGCTTTGGTGTGGCTCTCTATGTAGGTACAGGGTTCAGTTCACTGGTTATCAAGCTAACAGTTCCCTTTTTCTTGGCAGCAATTTTGTACACCTTCAGTTAGATTATATAATTATAAATCTGTATACAATCAAACTCATATAAAATGTCACACTGAGCTTCAGAAAACTTAGTGACTCTGATTCTTGAACAGGCTGACAAGATAAGAGAAAATGAAGCCATGGATAGAAGTTTGGGTAAGCATTCTTAGTAGCTGGCAGTGGTAGTGTCAGGAATGCGTGAGGTGGAAATAGCTGATTCTTTTTGACTGAGTCAAATTTTGCCCCAATTATATGGGTGACCCATAACCCATCATGCTCTTAGTTGTACACACTGTTTGTTTCTGAATACATTCTTTCTTCTAAAAGGCCTCTTTTGACTTTCTGTCCTAGATTCATCATATTGCCCACAATGGAGGATTATATAAAAGACCATTCAATGAAGCTTTTGAGGAAACACCAATGCTGGTTGCTGTGCTGACCTACGTAGGCTATGGTGTTCTCACACTTTTTGGGTATCTACGGGACTTCCTGAGGCAGTGGAAAATTGAAAAGTGTCACCATGCAACAGAAAGAGAAGAACAGAAGGTAACTATTGGACATTGTTACAGCTGGGCTGACAGGGCTGGGGCACAGCTGGTTTACAGTGGAATGTCATCAGCACGACTTCATGCCTGTGTGTAGGATCACAGCTTCAACTTGACTTTTTTGTTTTTACGTGAAGTATTTTAGAAAGAGTGTGATCCAGTACTGAGTTGGTTGGTTGTATCTGAAGGCAGCTTAAAAAACTAGCACTGCAAATTCTGGATTAATTGTAATGAGATGTTAACTCCCATCTGTACCTCTAAGAATAACATTTGGTACCAGAAACCACATCTCCATCCCTCTTAGCTTAGTAGTGGGTCACAGTTGTGCACTTCTTCCATATTCTCCTGGCCCTGTGACTTCTATCTCTTGAATGTGCAGTGGACCAACTTCAACAGGAGTGGTGGAACATGGTTCTCTTGATCTTGTACACCAGTGGCCTGGTGATTAGGGCACTCTGCTGGGAAGTGAGACGTGTGTTCAAAACCCTCCTAAGTTTCCCACTGAAAGGACAGGAAATTGCTGTTGGATTACCAAAGTTCTCATCTTCTCAGATGCAAATTTCATCTATGCAGGATGGATTAGGGCTGATTTCCTATGGCGGGGGTGGCCAGGGTAATTGTTGCGGCAGCTCGACATCTGAGCTCCAGGACAAGTGGCGCCTGTGCCAGCAGTCCTGGGAGAAGTGAGCGGGGCTTCACTCAGTCTTCGGCGAGCTCACATACAGTGCCAGCGAGCTGCATGTGGCTTCCGAGCCGCAGTTTGGTGACCTCTGCTCTAGGGCCTACTGTGCTGCCTGTTGAAGGAGTAGAAGAGCTGTGGGCCTCTTTGGATGAATTTAGATCCTGTTCCAAGGCTGGATGTGTAATTTCTCTGCTAGGCAGGGGAAGGATCTGGAGGTAGATTAGGATTTCTCTTTTAGAGTAAGAGTGAGAAAATTTACTTCTTAATGTATGCTGAGTGCCTTCACTATGGAGTAGTGGGAGTACTGCAAATTCACACCATAGTTTATTTAATAAAAATGAGGGTTGGAAGGGACCTCAGGAGGACAGCTAGTTCAACCCCCTGCTCAAAACAGGACCAGCCTCAACTGAATCATCCCAGCCAAAGCTTTGTCTAGCTGAATCTTCAAAACTTCTAAGGGTGGAGATTCCGCAACCTCTCTGGATAACATATTCTAGTGCTTTAATACCCTCTTAGTAAGTTTTTCCTAATATCTAACCTAAACTTCCTTTGCTGCACCTTGAGACCATTACTCCTTGTTCTGTCATCTGCCACCACTGGGAACCAATCCTAGCTCCATTCCCTTTCATACTCCATACTCCTTTGGGAAGTTGAAGGCTGCTATTAAATCCCCGCCCCCCCCAAGTCTTCTCTTCTCCAGACTAAATAAGCCCTGTTCTCTCAGCCTCTCTTCATAAATATGTGTCCCAGCCCCTTAACCGTTTTCATTGTCCTTCACTGGATTCTTTCCAACTTGTCTACATCCATTTTGTAGTGGGGGGTGCAAAACTGAACACGGGACTCCAGATGTGGCCTCACCAGTGCCAAATGCAGGGGAAGAATAGCTTTCCTTGATCTGCTGGCAGTTGTCTTATCAATGCAACCCAGTATGCTTTTAGCCTTCTTTGCAACAAGGGCACACTGTTGGCTAATATTTAGCTTACTGTCCATTGGAACCCCCAGGTCCTTTTCTGTAGAGTTGCTGCCTAGCCAGTTGGTCCTCAGCCTGTGGGCAGTATGTGGGATTGTTCCATCCTAAGTGCAGGACTTTGAACTTCTCCTTGTTGAACCTCATGAGGTTTCTTTTGGCCCAGTCCTCCAGTTTGTCAAGGTTTCTCTAAAATTTTTCAGTAGCTTTCCCATGTAGAGTTGCTGAAGTTGATTAAGCCAATTAAGAAGTGCTCATGCAGGGAGTTAATCAAGATAGCATTCTGCTTTACATTTACTTTGCTTTTCAGGCAGACTTACTCCCTCTGTTCATCCCCAGGCCTGACCTCCTGAATAAACATTAGAATCCTGCTGAATTCCTACACTGCTCAAATACAGCCTGAGCTAGATCCTCAGGCTGTATAGTTTTGCAGAGCTGCATTATCTTCTGTCAGCTGTGGGTTTCTCTCTGTTTTTGTGTGGTAAATAAAGGAAACATGGACACAGCCATTAAACCACTGAAGGAAATATTCGTCTAAAAACAGACTCTAAATAAAGAGCTTGTATTGGGTTTAGGTTTGTTCTTTTGCGTCTTGTTTTTTACTTCAAGCAAAGGTTAGAAGAGAGTGGCAAAAATAAAGGTACAAATGTAGCATTAAGGCAGCTCTAAATCCTTAATGCAGAGGTGTGGCCCACATCCTTCCAACCATATTCATCCCATGCTGTTCTGATAAAGAATGCTGTGTAGGGACTTCTAGTCCCCATGTCTCTTGTTTCAGTTAAGATGGAGACAGCTGCAAGCTCCTTTAATCTAATCTATGAAGTGGCTTAAGATTCCTCTTTTTAGCATCTGACACCGGTACATGAATACTGCCTCTTTCCTTGAAGAAAGGAGAAGATTTAAAACAACTTTCCTTTAGCAGTGAAATGGATTTGTTTTGTCAAGCAGACATCCCAGACTTGGGGGTTACAGTGGATAGTAAGCTGGACACAAGTCAACAATATGTTATTGTTGCTAAGAAGGCTAACGGCATACTGGGCTGCATTAGTGGGTAAGTCGCCATCAGGGCAAGGGAAGTGATTCTCCCTTCTATCTGCACTGGTGAGGCCACATCTGGAGTTCTGTGTCCAGTTTTACTCCCCCTAGAAAGGATGTGGGCAAGCTGGAAAGAGTCCAGTAGAGTGCAATGAAAATGGTTTGGGGGCTGGGGCACATGACTTCTGAGGAGAGGCTGAAGGAACTGGGATTATTTAGTCTGTGGAAAAGACTGCTGGGGGGATTTTAATAGAAGCCTTCAACTTCCTGAAGGGGGGGTTCCAAAGTGGATGGAGCTAAACTATTTTCAGTGGTGGCAGACAACAGAACAAGGAACAATGGTCTCAAGTTG